CCAGCACAGCAGGCCCAGGGATCCAACACCAACCTCTGCGCCTTCTTTCAGGTGCTTTAATGCACTGAGCTATTTGGCCAGCCCGAGAAAAAATTTTTAAGAGTAAAAATACATGTAACATTAGAAAAGAGGTTCATTCTTACTAACAATCAAATATAAACTAAAAAAGTCATCAGATAAGAAGTGAGGGTGAAGGGGGCCAGGGATATAGCTCAGTAGCATAAGTGCCTGCCTAGCAAGCACAAGGTCCCAAAGTTTGATCCCTGGTATTGAAAAAAAAAGAGAGAGAGAGAGAGAGAAGTGATAGTGTGGCATGATGGGTGTGTGCTTTCAATCTCAGCATTCTGGGAAGATAAGGCAGGAGGAAAACAAGTTGGAGGCCAATCTGGGCAACAAACTGAGACCCTGTCTCAAAATATAAAAATAAAAGGGCTGAGTATGCAGCTCAGTGATAGAACACTTGTCTAGCAAGTGTGATGCCCTATTTTCTGTCCATAATACCCACCTCCAAAACACACATGCACACATACAATTTCCCTGCTTTATAACTATGGGAAAATAAGGTCAATTAAAAATGTACTGGGCCTTGGGCCGAGGAGATGGCTCAGTGGAATAAGCGCTTGCCTGGCAAGCACAAAAGCCTGAGTTCAATTCCCGGTTCCACAAAAAAAAAAAAAATGTACTGGGCCAGGGAGAGAGCTCTTGCCTGACAAACACAAGGTCCTGAGTTCAATGCCTGGTAGTGCAAAACAAATAAATAAATAAAATCAAAATGTACTACACAAAACTACATATGCATTGTAAACATGTAGTACAAAAGGTTAGAACAAGTCAGCAGAGCTATCTCTGGATGGAAGCTGATACAGGCCTCTTCAGACTATAAACTGGTTCAGCTGATTAGTCCTTGGCCTGAGGCAAGACAGTGTATCAAGGTGAGAGATTGTGGTGGAGCAAAAACTCTTCATTTCATGGTTAGGGAGCTATAGAGAATAAACTGAAAGGAACAGGGTCCCAAAGTCCCTCTCAAGGACCTATCCCCTGGTAACCAAATACCTTCTACTGGGTCCTACCTCCTAAAGGGTCCACAATCTTGCAAAAGCAGCACCTTGTGGTCAAAGCTTTTACTACACAAACCTTTGGAAGGACATGAAAGATCCAAACTATTCTGAGATTATGAAGCATGGTAGTACATGTCTGCGATTTGTGCACTGTGGAAGGCTGAGGCAGGAAGATCACAAATTGAAGCTGAGCCTGAGCAGCTTAGTGAGAATGTCTTAAAATGGAAAATAAAAAGGGCTGAGGATATAGCTCAATGCAAAGGCACTGGGTTCAATCCTCCAGTACAACAGAATGGGGAAAAAGGATCCAAATTCTAATACCACCTTCTCTTAGAAGTTCCTTTTCTTTGCTAAGGCAACTACCAATCAGTAGCTATTTCTTTCTTGGACTCCTAAGAAAATATTTTAGCACTCTTACTACTCAATATATTTTGCTATACACTTGATAATTATCTCTGTTTTAATACCTCTACTGGATTGCAGTTGTTTGGGACTGTATTTTTATTTTTATTTTTTGGCAGAACTGGGGATTGAACTCAGGCCCTTGTGCTTGCCAGGGAAGCACTTATTCCACCGAGCCATCTCCCCAGCCCCTAAATTGCAGTTGTTTGGGAAGGTGCTCTATCCTTCAGTTTGTTCTCTAATACAGACACTGCTTCCCAGAAATAAGCATATAAGGAACACTTGAGGAACTGAATAAATTATTGTCAGAAGAGATTAGTCTCCTGTCTTCCGCATAAGTAGAAAGAACAAAAATATTCCTCATTTTTGACTCAGCAAAGAACTTATTGTAACAATAAGGAAAAAAAAGTAGCAATTATGGATTTCTATTTTATGTTTTATGTCAGTTATAGAAATCTAGTCATAATCAATAACTTTTATGGGTACAAAAATATTCTTGAAATTCCTAAAATTCTACCTCCAAAAGAACTATGGAGACTCGTTAGTGCTTGAAGTAATATACCTGCAGATGATAATTTGTTTTTGTTTGTTTTGCAGCACTTGGTATAATACTCAGGGTCTCAAAATGCAAGGCAAATTCTTTGCCACTGACGTGTACTTCCAGCATGAATATTTTCGTTTAGGAAAAAAACATCATATTTGCTCAAGTCGGCCTTAAGCCTCTCATGAAGCAAAATACTGTTAATGACTACAGAAACAGTAAAAGAGGAAGAAAAAAGTGGATGTTCTAAAAAGTGACCTTAAAAAGGAGAACACATAAAAATTAAATATTTTTTTTTCATTTCCCAACTCTGACTTTTTCAGATGCTATATTTTAGGAAACAACTGAAACTTTTAAGGTGAGACTATCTTTATTTCCTTTCCCATGAAAGTCTTTAATATTTTCAATTGCTAGCTGGTAACCCAAATACACACGTTACAAGTACCTGTGTGTGTATTTTAGGACAAAATCCTCTATACTCAATGCCATGCAGTGCTTTACTTTGAAATGATTATCTTTATGAGATATATTGTGAGCACTGTTCTTGCCAGATTTTGGTGGGAAAGGGGAGTTGGTTGGGCCAATTTTTAATTCAGAATTGGTCTTTCTTCCAATGCACATACTTAACCACTGCTATAGTCATTGACTATGTACTGTGAACTATGCAAGGTGTTCAGAGTTAAGATTCACAAGGCCTTTGGCCTCAATTTCTACAAGTTGCTACAGAACTCAAACATAATCTATTAGAGGAAATGAACAAATGACCAAGACAATTACAGATTATGGTAAGAACTGTTGAGAAAACAAATGGTACAGGGAAACTATTTAATAATCAGTGGAAACTTCTTAGATACACGTAAACCTTGAAATGAAAAGAACTCAGACATGTGCATTAACTGGGGAAGAACCTTCCAGGTAGAGTGAGAACGTGGAAAGTTCCCAAGGTGGAAACAGATTCATTTTGTTTGAAGAACACAAATGAAGTAGTGTAGTCATGTTTTTCAAACTGTGAATCATGTTTTAGATTTTAATGTTAATTGTATCGGTTACTGCACTTTTAAAAAGTCAAATAGAAGAAACACTAGTCGCATGTTTTCCGAATGAGTATTCTTATTTCTTTTTGGTGGTGGTGGTGGGGTAGCTGGGGATTGAACCCAGGGCTATCACACTGAGTTATATCCCTAGCTCCTTTTTATTTGTGAGGAGGGTCTCAGTAAGTCAGTAGGTTGTCCAGGCTGTGATGGAATTTGTAATGCTCCTACCCCAGCCTCCCACAGTGCTAGGATTACAGGTGGAGCTCACCGTGTCTGGTTATAAGTGTATCTTTAACTATTATTTTAATTACATGAACATATGCATGCGTGTACGGACTAGGTTGCACTGTATGTTTGTAAATGAAGAAGGGAGTTAAATCTGTACTAGTAAAGAAGAATGCTAATAGCTGAGGCTGCAAAGATAAGCACAATCCAAATCATGTATGGCTATCATGAAAAACGGGTTTTATTCCAAATGGAGTAGGTAGACACAGAAGGGTTGCAGGCTGGAGAGTGACACAATATAATTTGACTTCATGGCATTACCAAAAGATTATTCCAGTGAAATTCAGAAGCTCTCAGCACTGATTGGCCTGGATAAGCCACTAAAACCAGGATTTTTGAGCAAATTACTCTCTCTATACCATACTTCTTTCGTTTAAAAACAAGAAGGTTGAACCAAGATGACTTTTAAGATCTATTGCTTTACCTCTGCTTCCTCCTTTGGGTGTAAAGTAATTATTGTGTTGCTGGTTCAGTATGTGTAGTTTTCAGTTACTTCTAAAATACTAAAAGCCATGCAGCTGTGAGTTACGTTTCTATAGAAAAGCAATTTTGGATTTTTCTTTTCACTGGTATCAGGTATGTCAATAGAAATGACATACACTTTTACTCTCTGGACTAAAAGTGAATCAAGTGCTTTTGCAACTCTCTGTTACAAAGTTTATAGAGTGTGAAGAAAACTGGTAAGAAGGTGTGAAAAGATTTACTGACCAGGTTATTTGGAACAGATTTCCTTATTTGTTCTAGATCATCAAATGATGTACAAGACAGTTTAAAATTGCAGGAAACTAGCTGAACACTTAAGTCAAGATATGGAAGCTCAACTCCTTTTACAGAAACCAAAGCGATGACTGACACAAAGTATTCATTAAAAATTTACTATTGTTTAAGCCTGTACTAGGTAATTTCATATGGTTTTTCTTAGTTAATCTTCCTAACTCAATGCACATTTCAGAGGTATGGAAATGGGGTGAGAATAAACAAGCTATTTAGTGGCAAAGTCAGGATTAGTATCAATCTTGAGGTAGTCAACACAGACACTTTAAAACTCTGTATTTATAATAACTTGCCCTGTATGTTTTTTACAAATTACTGTGTAAGTATTAAGTTATCAAGTACATGACCACTCAGGCACCTGAGTCATCTGATGTGTTCAACCAATAAGTTAACTGGACTCACAGCTTCTTTACTAGGTATAGTGGGAGATGAGAAGAATAAAATTTGCTCTAGCAGGAGAGATCTTTAATTGTGGATAGAATGCTGGGGTGTGTGAAGTGGGGTTTGGAATGTCAAAGGAAGTAGCATAATCAAGTAAGTACATGTCAGTAGTATTATGGCAATTTCTAGGCTTACTTTCTTGACTATTGCTGGGTGAAAGGTCAGCAGAACCTCAGACTGTTTGGTGAGCCTCACAAGTGTCTTGCAAGTTCCATAAAGGAAAGATGCTACAAAGCCACCTACTTCCAACTTGGGTTAACCCTTTAAAGGCAGCATTGGACACACCACCTGCCCAGCTGGAAAAGCAAACACAGCATTTTATGGAAAGCAAAACCTTTGAAACACACAGTACTGGAAGAGATGAAAGAGCCTCTGAAACACCCTAGAGAGGCATTGCCCAACACCCTAGTAAAGTTGGGGACGCGCACTGAACATCTTCCTCCACCTAGAGAACGTGGTGCTTACCTGACACAAACTCAGCTTCGAACCTCCGTCGGATCTCACAGATGAGCTTGGTTTTATTCTGAGTGTGATTCTGGAAGGAGATACAACAGGACATTAGATACTTCTCCCACCACTCCGGTTACCCTCAGCCCAGCCCACTCGTGCCTGTGGACACTGTCCCTAGTTCGGAGGCGGCCTCCGAGACCAAGGGGCCAGTACTGGTGCCATCGCTTTCTCACCTCGGCCATGACCGCGGTCTTTGGAGTGATTACTGTAGGTGTAGCGTTCAACCCCTCCGCCGCCGCCGCTGCCGCCAGAGTATCTCATCACCACCAAGCCAGTCCCGCCCAGAGGTAGTCCGGGGAGGGTGAAAGGGAGAGGCGGTGTCGCGTGACACCGGAAGGTAACCGGAAGTGCTGCAGCAGCGCTCAATCCGCTGTGGCCGTCAGGTAATAGAGGCGGGACTAAACGTTCAGTCTGGGTCCCATTGGTTTCTCCTTTGGGGCCCTCCTCTCGACGGCCACGCACTGCGGTCCCGCCCCCGTGAGCCGCGTGATCCCAGGCACTTTGCCTCAGAGTTCCGCCCTCGAATTTTGGGTTTGCCATTCACTTTTGCAATAATCCTTGGAGGTCCTGCCTCTTCAGCCTCCCTGGGCAACCGTCTCCAAGCAGTCGGGCTCCACTTCCTCAGTGTTCTTGCAGCCACAGGGCGGGGCCTCCCAGAATGCAGCGCGCTGGCGGGAGTTTTGGAATGAATGGACGCTTCCTCTGCGTAAGACTTCCCAGAGTGGAGGCTTTGCTGAGGTAGGGCAGCGTCTGCACGCAGGACCATCCCTGGAGAACTTAACCCTTTGCTCCTTATTTCCGGGAGAGCGGGAAGGAAACATGTATCCTGGGGCCAAGGTTTGTCCTTCTTTGGGTTTTGATTGCTTGCTATACTCGGGGATTATTGCTCTTGCAATTTTGTTCCTGACTTCACCGTTCTTCACATTTGGAGTCTGAAATGGTTGAAGGGAAGGTATCTTTGAAGTATTTAGGGCTCAATGTTACATAAAGTTAGAATGAAAAATGTACAACATCTTTAATATAGTTGTCAACAAGGGGTGCCTTTTCTGCCATCCGGAGACTTTCAGCAGTCTCTATGGGCCAGTTGACACTACTGGGGAAGCGGGTATTACTGCTTGCTAATGGTTAGGAACCGGTAATACTGCCTGACGCTCTGCCCATGTACACCATAACCCACAGTGGTTGACTAGTGCAAAATGTCGCCGCGAGTGCCACAGTTAAAGTACTGAACAATTTTAGGTTTGTTGGTTTAAAAATAATTGAAAGGAAATCGTTACATATACAATATTACTTTCCTTGAATGTTAAAGGATACTGAACACTACAAAGAAATTTTAAGAGGCTTCCATGTGTTCATCATCCGTACCATTTTATGGGGAAAATTGAAAACATGCTCATAACATTGTTACATCGTTTAAAAATTGTTTTAATACATTCTTTAAAAGTATTTCAACTGTAACTAATCTCCTTCTGACTCCACTTCCCTACCCTGATATTCATCACCTTGTGCAGTATCAACATTCATTCAAACTTTGGCCTAAAATATTTATTTATCCTGCCTGTCTTCTCACCTTCCACCATTCCCTCTTTCCCTCCCCCCTTCCTGCCTTCCCTACTTTCCTCCACTTCCAGACTGCTTGGATTTGAATTTTAGCTCTGATATTTAATATGTAGGCCTCTGACAAAATTCTGAAATACTCTGCCTCAGTGACATTTTCTTAAAAGAGGATAGTAATAATATCCTTGTTGTAAAGAGATTTTCAAAATCTCACTATGATGATATACTGTACATAGATCTAATACATTCCTTTTAACTACTGTATGACATTTCAACTATATTCAGTCTTCTACTGGTGATCGTTGAAGTTTTTCCTTTTTTATATCCATTATTTGCAATAGTATAGGGAACATTGTAGAACAATATCCTCGTGCATATATGGAATGAGTTCCTTGAATTCTGTCTCAAAATGAAATTGCTGGATATGTGCACTTCAATTTAAACATCAAATTGCCTTACTAAAACATTAGTCCTATTTATTAGGTACTCATAATTGTCTCCTAATTGTTAGCTTTGTATCCAATTTCATCTCATTCATATGTTCATCACTGTTCCCAGGCTCTTTATAGGGCAGCAATGTAATTTTGTGATTTCTGTTTTTGTAATCTTTCAATGAATTATCATTGCTTATCAGAGAAAATGAGAAGTCCCTCAGAAGACATAGAAAATCTTCTTAATCGCCCATAATTCTCTAATTTATTAAATCCTTATTCACCCACATTCACTGACATTTCAGCTATATGTAGATAATGCTGGGAAGGAAGGAAAGGTGAAATTGATTATAGGTAGGCCCTCAAGAAATGCCTTTCATTTAAGTTGAGAGATCAAGTTTTAACAGTGGACCTATTTTGTAGTGAAGTTGATGTACTTGGGTTAACAATTTCTTATATGTTGGAGAAAGGAAGTAGATCAGCATTACATTCACATAATTGTATTTAATGCTAGGTACAATTTTTAGTTGGGTGTCTTAGTTTTTCCTTTTTTTTTTTCCAGTATACTATCTCTTGGTCACTATGTGGCTTCTTACAGATATTTTTGTATTTCAAATACAGATATAGTGCTCTTCTAGAAGCTTTCTGAGCCTCCCTGTGCCAGTCAGTGTTAACTGTCAATATGACTGGATTAAAATACTCCTGAAGTCTGATGTTCATAGAAGAATGTACTCCTAGGAGGTGGGGCTCAGTTGGAGGAGGTAGGTCATGGGGGCTTGCCTTTTCAGGGCATGTTTCTTTCTGGTGCTCTTTCTCTGTTCTCTGCTTTCATGCTACCTTGAGGTGATCAGGTTTCTTTTGCCATTACCTTCGGCCTTGAGCTTTCTGCCTTGGAGCCAGTTAGCCACGGATTGAAACCTCTGAAACTGTGAGGCAAAATAAACCTGTCCTTCTTTAAGTTGCAGGTGTCAAGACATTTTGTCCCAGCAGTGTGAAAGCTGATCAGTACACAGAAGGATAGTTTAAAGAGTTGGAAAATTTATAGTGTCACAGTGGATTTATAAACATTTGAAGGGAATACCATGTTTATTTAAGGGGAACACAAGTAGAGAAGAGTGGATGAGGATAATAATTTATTGCTAACCTACTATATTTATATTAGCTTAGGTTACAGTCATTCTTCAGTATTTGTGGGGCATTAGTTCCAGGATCAGGCACAGGTACTAAAAGTATGAAAGTTTGAGTGCTGTTACGGTTTGTGTCTAGTTGTCCCCCCAAAGCCTCATGCAGTCATGGGGTGAGGACTTCTCGAGTTTGTGTTAACTCATGATCCACTGGGATTATGTGTGATCCAAGGCTGGGATTATGGGTCTTAGTACTGCTGGGATTACCCATAGGTGGGTAAATACTGGGAAGTACCCATAGGTGTGAGTACTTGCCCTACCCTGGGGCAGGTAATTTGCATTACAATGTAAGGTGGGAAGAGAAGCTAGCTGCTTGAGCTGCTGTTACTCCCTCCCTTGCACTCTTGCTCTTTGCCACCACCATGAAAGTTTGCTTTCTGCTATGTGCTGCTCTGCATTGGACTCAGCTGAATATGGACTGAAACCTCCAGTAACTGTGAGCTAAATAAACCTTTCCTTCCTTCATTTTGAGTGTCGGGTATTTGTCCCAGCAACGAGAGAAGAGTAACTAAGACAAGTGCCTTATATAAAATGATGTAATATTTGCATATAGCTTACACATATTTTCCCATGTACTTTAAATTCTTCCTGAATTACTTAAAATTCCTAATACAGTGTAAATGACATGTCGATAATTGTTATGCCATATTTCTTAGGGAATAATGACAAGGAAAATGTACATATTTAGAACAGATGCAATTTTTAAGAAATATTTTCAGTCAGCTGTTAATTGCCTCCCTGGATGCAGAACCTTTGGATATGGAGGGCTGACTATATGTATATGCAAACAGGATACCGTTTTATATGAAGTACTAGAGCTCCTGAGGGTCTTAGTAACTGTTGGATATCCTAGGAACTAATTCCCCATGGATACTGGCATACAACTGTGTTCCAAACTTTAGCAATATAAAACAACACTCATTTATTATCACACTATTTCTGAGTGTCATAAATTTGTGAGCAGTTTAGTTGGGTGGTTCTGATTTCAGATCTCTCCATGGGGCTGCAGGATCTGATCCTAAGAAGGTTCACCCATAGAGCTTTCACAGGACTCAGTACTTTGCTGATTTTTGGTATGAGGCCACAGTTTCTTGTCCAAGTATTCACTACCATGGAGCTGCCTGAGTGTCTTAGAAGTATGTTAAATTGCTTGCAGCAGTCCCAGTAATCTAAAAATAGAGGTGAAAAACAATAATAATAAAATAAAGAGGTGAAATTGAAATCCTTGCTGTAAAACAAGGACTACATTAGCTTGAATTTGTAGCTTAGGGTTCATAGTGGTGTACTTTTCTAATGAGACTGATTATAGGTTTTTATAATGAAAGAACAAATCTTAAGCCTGTGAAGTTTTCTTCTCATTTAGGGGGAAACTGTATTACTTAACTTGTAAATGACCTAGTGTTCAGTTATTCTGAAACAGTGGTATACAAAATGATTCAGAAATAGAAAAAGATGTATTTATGTATATATGCAGGATAGTTTGGATAATTACCGATTTCTGCTATTCTTTTGAAAGGAGCAGATAATACTTCAATTTTTTTCTTTTTTTACTTTTTAATTCTGTATAACTTTTTTGTTCGTTCTTTTTAAACCCATTTTGTGCATTTATATCTGGTAACCTAAACAACTAATTTGAAGATAACATGCAATACAGCAACCATTGTTGAATTCCTATTATGTTGTTTAGTGAAAGTTTGTATCATTTCTAATGCTTTTTTTATTACTCTTTTGTATTCTTTAAAAAACAGAAACAGGAGAAAAAGAGTATGAGTGTGAGTTATTTATAATGGCAGGGGCTCTTCCACAAAGGCTTTAGAATATAACCATTCTTCTGGCATTTCTTTTTTTTTTTCTTTTCAAAGTTTTATTGATAAACATATAGCAATGAGACAGTTTCAAATCAAATCGAAAGTACAGTTTCAACAAATGTCTTCTGACATTTCTAAGGTTTCATGCTATATAAACTAGAGCTGGCCATGGTGATTAGCAATGATGTCAATTATAGCACCTAACATTTATTGAATATAGTAGTTCTCTTTATCATAGGGAATATATTCATGTTCCAAGACCCCCACCATTAGTGCACAACACTGTACATATTATGTTTTTTCCTACACGCCCTGTGGCTTTGCATATTTTACAGAGTTCATGTTTTATGCCCTCCTACCTCCTTTATATTGCTACGCTTGAGCTTTGGGGCTGCTAGTAAGTAAAATAAGTTACTTAGATGTGAGCATTGTGATCCTGTAATGGCCCACTGATAACTGAGGGCAACCAAGTGACTACAAAGGGATGATTCAGGTCACAGGCAGGATGGGAAGGAATGGGACAGTGGAAGTTTTCATCATGCTACCCAGAACAGTGTACAGTTAAATTATGAGTTGCTTTTGGAATTTTCTCTTTATTTCAGACCAGGGTTGGGCAGATAGCTCAGTGGAGTAAAGTACCTGGTTAGGCAGACACATGGACTGGAATTTGATCCCTGGAGTGCAGTGCGGGTCCAGCTCCCAGGGCGCTGAGATGGCAACTGAGACTGGGTGTAGTGGCATGTGCCTGTAATCCCAGCACTTGGGAGGCTGAAAACAGGAGAATCACTACAAGTCCAATCTGTGTAGTGAGACCCTTTAGACCCTGTACTAAATACATAATATGTATATATATTTTTTTCAGACCATATTTGACTGTGGGTAACAAACTGTGAGACTGGTGATGAGGAGAGACTTCCTACTGCCTAAATGACAGGCTCTATTTCAATTGCTTTATATTATTTATTTTATATATTACTTTAGTTTTTTGAGATGGTCTCACTATGTAGTTCAGGCTGGCTTTGAACTGTGTAGCTAAAGCTGACCTTAAACACATGGCCATCTTGCCTCAGTCTTCCAAGTACAGGGCTGATGATAAGTGTACACCACTGCACCCTGCTTTACGATAATTACTATTTTACACTTGTGCCTTCTGAGGTAAATGCTGTTATTTTATGCCGTTATAGAGATGTAGCTATAAGGAACAAAAGGTACTAAGTAACTTGCCCAAGTCTCATATCTAATAAAAGGCAGACCTGGCCTATATGCTGTTCTCCACATGTTTTGCTTAAGATATGGCAAGCATTCAGTACTGCTTTCAAACATTGTTGTAGGAACATTGAGGCAGGAGTGATTAATGGACAGGTACTAAGTAAAGAGAGGAAACTGCCTATTTTTATATAGGCAGTTAGAGGATGCTCTTTTGATTTTTATTTTACCATTTCTGTCAAGTTTCTTTCTTACAACTTGTTTGTTTAGAATAAGGAAATGCATGCAAGGCCTGTGTAGTGGTTTAGTAGAGACTCAGGCATCAGAAAGCCTCTTTTCCAAATCTAGCACCAAGATAATTAGGACCAGAGCTGTTGATTAATGTTACAACAGTGGGATGTTATCTGGCCTTCATTAAAATAAAGTTTTTATATTTAAAACATGGGATAGTTAAAATAATTTTAAGAGATGTTATAAGCATTAAATAATTGTATGTAGTATATCTGGTGTGTAGTAAGTGTGAATGATTGATAGCTACTATTCAATTCTTCTGTTCATTATAATAAATTGTCTTAATTCTTGATTTTTTTGCCCTTTGAATAAGAATAGTGATTTCCTTAGGTCATAAAAATGTATTGTGCTTACAAAGTAAGTTTTATTTTTATTATCCCTACATCCCTAGAGAGTTTGTAAAATCTTGGTTTAGCATCTTCTGTTTTTTATTTCTGGAGTTTTATTTTGTTACAGAGCCTATACAAGCTTTTGCCTCCAGAGAATTTGAACTTCACACAAGAAAATACTGATTACCTGAATATTTATTCTGAGAGGCTAAGCTAATACCAGATTAGAGATAGCAGTATGTTTGAAACAAACGAAATAGAAGCATGTGTTAATTTCTGGAAATGAACATCACTGTGCTGCACTGTAAACATATACTAATAAAATGAAATTCCTTGAATCGTAAAGAATTTTGTAGTCACTTTTAATAGGACATCTAAATCTAAAACTTTAAATATGTGCTGTTAATATATTTAGTATGTTTTTAAAATTTAGTTACTCTCCTACTTAGCAAACTTTTAAAAGGATTGTACAGAAGTGATATCTGGTTGTCTTTTTTCTGATAACACAACATTGTAACAATAGTACAAAAAGTTTAAAAATGTTTACTTAATGAAATATATAGTTGCCTATGTAATACTTCTCAAACAGAAATGTGTTTTCTTTTCAACTCTTATCTACTTTCTGATACTTTTTCTCCTTTTTCTTTTTAGGATTAAAAGCATCAGCTGGAATCAGTTTGCATTTAAAAACTGGATGAACACAGGACTTGATATTGTGGATGGCTAGCGAGCAAGCAATGTCATGCACTGAACAAGAAAGGCTCCTGTGTTATAATGGGGAAGTCCTCGTTTTTCATTTGTCTAAAGGCAGTTTTGCAGATAAATGTGCGACAGCATCCATATTACATGTCAGAAGGATGGGATTTGACAGAGGAAGAGAAACATTTGTTTTGAAGTCCACTGGATGCTTCAACTTAAAGGAAGAAAATTCTAATTTAAAAATTGTGTGTTGCAACTGTGTTTCAGATTTCAGAACTAGAATGAACTTCCCTTATGTTTTGATACAAAGCAATGAAAATAATAAGGTTTTTAAGTATTTTGTTCTATTTCTTCATAGTACCAATAAATTTGAAAGGAGCCTAAGTTTTGAACTAGACTATGAGTTGAAAGACAGTATAAGGGTCCTCAATGGCCCTTTAGTTTTATGGCAACATAGTAACACATTCTTCTGTATCTCTTCACAAATTGGCAAAGTTGTTAGTGTGTCAGTTAACTTTTCCTCTGTTAAGTGGGCAGGTGAGATTGAAAATTTAGGTACAGTTTTATTGGGACTAACAGATTATTGTTTATCTGAAGAGGAACTCACTCAGAAGCCTTCAGAATCATATTATGCAATCTGGAATACCAAATTTTGTGTTTACTCTCTTGAAAATCAAGAAATATTAAGTAATACATACATTATACCTGCAGCTTATAGCAGTGTGGTAACTTGTGTGCACGTTTGTTCAGCTGAGGTCATCGCCAACCAGTTAAGAATGACTCTGATTGTCCTTACTCAAAAGAATCAGCTGATTTCATTCCAGAATGGGACTCCTAAAAGTGTTTGCCAGCTTCCATTTGAAGATCCTTGTTCAGTTCAACTTTTAGATTCAGGTGAAGGAAACCACTTTTTCGTTGTATCATTTAGGTCCAGTAATGCTTGTGCTATTTGGAAAAAGAACTTTCAGGTATAGTACTTAAACTTATAATTTGGTTGGTGTTTATAAATCTTTTACTTATTTAGCCAGCTCAGCCTATCCCGCAGGTGGGGCTGGTGTGGCACAGGATGCCAGGGATCGAATCCTGTGCCTAAGCTTGCCTAAGCAGGTACTTTAGACCGCTGAGCTATCTTACCAGCCTTGATTTTAAATCTTTTAAGCATTCTCATGCTTCATGCTCTAGACAGGTCTTCCCAGAGTTTTATTATATAGGTTAATTATAAGTGCTGTACTTAAAAAGTATATGTATTTGTATTTTTTTTAAAGTTACCTGAACACTACCTGATAATTTTTATCCTTTTTTGTTTTGGAGATGGGATCTCCCTCTTGACTGTGTCTTTTGGCTTCCTTGCCATTTTTTTACAAAACCATTTAAATTTAGAGATAAATAAATGAATGTATAGCTATAATTATATATTAATTTGTCTTAGTATTCTTAATGTCTTAATTTCTAAACTTTTTATATAATTATATCTGAAAACCTAGGTAAGTACAGTAATTATATTTGGATAATTATACTTAGCAGTTAGAACAAAAATGTCAATATGACAAGTGTTGTAATTGAGTGGGACATATATAGTTGTACAATGGAAAATTTTTTCTTATATTGACTTCTGAGATAATTTAGATAATAAAGTGAATAACTTATACTAAACAATAAAATAGTGTCTTTGATAGCAGTTTTGCCCCAAAAAGAAAGCAGCAGAAGCTATTTTCCTTGGGTTCATCATTCATTCATTCATCCAACCTTTTAGTACTTCTTTCAGAGAAGGAATTAGGTCCTTTTATCAAGATATATAAAATGCAAATAAGTACAAATTAGAATAAATAGTACAAATCAAAGGTAGTATGTTCCCAAATCAATCCTATTAAGGCCCCAGGTATGTATTTAATCCACTGATAGGACTTGAAAAAGAGTTGAGTCTAGAGTAGTGCATGTTTAGCTTTTCTCAGGCTTTCTCTCAAGCAGAAATTGTCTCTTAAGCTTTGACAAAAATCTATAAAACAACCTCAGTTTTGATACTGAGGTCATTGACATTGATGCAAAGATATTGGCTCGCTGTCAATAGGAATAGAATAATATGTTGTGAAACTTTGGTATCTAGTATGGTAGCTACTAGCCCTTTGTGGATCATTCAGTATTTAAAATGTGGTTGCTGTGAGTTAAAATGTTATAAATGTTAAATATTCATGAGATTCCAATGTCTGAATAAGAAATAATTTATTTCGATTTTAATTGATTACATTGAATTGAAATGGTAGCATTTTGGACATGTTGGGTTAATACAGTTAGCCCTCTCCTTATGCACTGTATTTATGGACTCTGCTAACTGCACATATAAAATATTTTTAAAAAATTTGTGTCTATACTGAATATTATATGTAGAATATATATATATATATATATATATATATGTGTGTGTGTGTGTGTGTGTATTTCTTTTACTTATTTCCTAAGCAATATTATAAAACCACTGTTACTTATTATTCATTATTTTAGGTGTTACAAGTAATCCGGAGATCATTTAACAGATAATTTGGGTACCTTATATACAAATGGTATGCTTTTGAATAATGGAATTAAGCATCCACAGATCTTGCTATTTGGAACGGGTCCAGGAACCAGTTTTTCAGTGATAGTGAGGGATGAAAGTGTATTAAAATTAATTTCACCTTTTATTTTCACTGGTACTAAAGATTTTAAAATTATGTGCATTCTATGCATTGTGACACACCCGTATCTGCGTCAGCACTATCCTCAACATGCTAAGAGATGTATATGTACATGCCTGCGTGCTCAGCTTTGTGATGAGCACATTCTTATTAATAATTTCTTCTCCTGTAGCTCATTATGTTCTATGATTATCACCGTAGGTTGAATTAATTTACAAGTAAACTATTTCCCTTCGTAAGTGAAGAATCACAGGTTTAGAAGTTAGCCTTACAGGGACAACACTGATACTTGGTTATGTCAACTGAAGCACCTTATTCATGTTTACCCTATTATAAACCACCTTCCTGTTTTATCAAGATCAGTGGTGGTGAGCCTATGACATATGTGCAGCAGTTCTCTTTGAAAGCTCTAAAAGGTTTGCCATCACTGATCTAGATGATGTTTATCTGTGTTTCTGGCCCTCTGAGTTGAAGATTTTGCTTTTGTGCCTCAGGGAGACAGAAGATCTGATCCTCATGGCATTAGTATTTCTAGGACTTGATGAGCTTTTGGCTTTGTGGACAGTTAAGAAGTTGCCTTCTGTTTTAAATGAGCAGTGTTTTGGTATCAACTGGCCAAGTTACTCCAATAATCTAGGGTGCTTCCAGGTATCCTACTACTAGTGTCAGTCACCTTCTATGTGCACCCTTATAACAGCTATTCCCTCTCTGTCAGGGTTTCGGGTATTTAAGTTCACCTTGATACTGCTATAGCTTGTTGTTCTTTGAAAACTCTTAAAGTGGATCTGTACCTCCAGTTACCTAATGTAACAAAATTCCTTGAGTAATTGGTCTGTTCATGAATAAATATCTACTAAGGCTTATGGGAACGGAAGTCATCCTTAAATTAGTCATGTTAGAGAAAGAAGTCATGAGAGTTTTAATCATGATAAATGCTAGAATTTCCAAAGATTTAGTTATGAGAACTGTTAGAATTTTTAAATAGATTATAAGATTTTAATACAGAAATTAGGAATATGACACTCCCTGGACACATGAATAAAACATTAAATCAAATTATCTTGTTATGTATAAAGTTGTTACAATTCTTTGTTTTGGGTCTTCTTACAACTTTAGTTTTTATACTGCCATTTTCTTTATTCATTTGCAAGACTGAGGATAATAAATTACAACTACTTAAAATTAAAGGACTTAGTTATTTCACATCTGATTTTGCTTTCCTTTTCTATTGGTTAATGCTGTCTTTCTCTCAGGTTGCTGCTAAGTGGGAAAAACTTAGCTCACTACTTATAGATGACTTTATTGGGAGTGGAAATGAACAAGTACTTCTCCTTTTTCAAGATTCCTTGAATGCAGACTGCCTGGCTTCATTTAAAATAACAGATCTTGGCAAAATGAACTATTCAGTAAGTTTATTTACTCACATATTTCTTTAAGAGACATATTAGAAAATTTACCTAAAAGCTTTTAATGCACCATTTAAATAGTTGTGTTTTTATACCTCAACTTTTGAATTTTAAAGGTATGTAGATTGTAATTTTTAAATATATCAATTATTTGTTCCAAATATGTACATTGTGTTGCCTTACAAAAGGTATGATAACTACTGCTTTTGATATAAATTTGGGATACTGGATGGTCACTCAAATGATAGTGGTACTATAAGTTAATATTTTGTTGCTTCAAAAAATCATATTTTGGGGCTGGGGATATAGCTCAGTAGCATAAGCATCTGCCTGGCAAGTGCAAGTTCCCAAGTTCGATCTCTGGTAATCCCCCAAAAAATGAGCAGCAAAAAATCACATTTCATACAAATAAACATAATACAAATTAGGGAAGAAAATGAAGTGAACCAGCATTTTAAAAGAATTAAAGAAGTAAATTTTAGGTGGTGATGGTGGTAGCCACTGTAATGTTTTTCTACTTACAAGAAGACGATGGGGAAAATACATAATTTGACTTTCATAGAATAGTGTGTTGTAGAGGAAACTGACTAAAGTTTAATTGTTTTATTAATCTTCTAAGTTTCAATTTATTTAAAAATTTCAGTTTTAATTTCTTTTTGTTTTATTAGAGTGAACCTTTGGATTGTAATAAAGATGATTTATTTGTAAGCCAAGAAGAAAATTGTCACTTGGTTGTTCCACCTCTGGAAAGAAGAATAAAAGTTAGTATTTCTCTATTTGCTTTTAGCTTTTGATTTTTGATTAATACTATTCTAAGTGAAGGAAAGGATATTGAAAGAAAGATGCTTAAAGTATAAGCAAGAGTGCTTGAAATAGTTTCAAAGGATCTTTATCTTTTTGACACCTTTGTAAAATCTGTTACACCATTTTCTTTTTTTAGTGTATTTGGTACAGGGTTTCACTATGCAGCTCAGACTCCTAGTGATCCTCCTGTTTTCAGCCTCCCCAGCACTGGTATTACAGGTGTCTGCCACCACATCCCCACTCCATTGTCTGGTTCAGTGTGCGTGATGGCAAGGCGGGTGTAGCATTTGGTGCCAGAAATTGAACCCCAATCCCTGTAAACACCTAAGCAGGCACTTAGTTCACTGACCTATCTCGCTGGTGCTGTTATGCCATTACTTCACTAAAAATAATGCCTTTTCATAGTTAGATTTGATAGGCTTAGTAAACTTCACAAAAAATATGAAAACTTCACTTCAAAATATGTATTCTTTTTTTTTTTTTTT